AGTAGCTTTTAGAAGACAAAGAAGTAGCTGAACAATGGGGATAATACTTTGATCCTTACTTTGCTCTCTGATGAAGTCCTCCTTTACAACCTCATAGCTAGCATGAAAGTGGCCGTTGTTTGTGACGCTAAGAATTCTGAGATAGATTGGAAAGCTGTATCAGAAGATAAGTGGCTAGATGAGTCTGATTTAGTATGATCTGATATTTTTGTGTATGTTTTTGGAAAAAGATATTATTATTCTTGCATACTATTTCTTTTAACTGCTTGACAAATAGAATAAAGCATTCTGATGAGCAATACCTTTCTTTGCTCTACCAAGATATGGACTCAGATGTAACTCTTTCCGCGGGTAGATTTTATTTTTTTGACATAACTAGTGATTAAAAAACACATGCTGAGTAAAAACTTTCGGCATGATTGAATTAATAAATAAATGAATGAATGTACTTGGAATATAATTAGGCCTAAGATTCCTCAACAAGGGACACCTGTGAGGCTAGTTCATGTTTAACAAAAATCATGTACAATCAGAATTTATTTTCTTGAAACTTTTTTCTTGTTATTTTAATAAACCAAGTTGCTTATAAGGTTGGAGAGAGATGTTGGATGGTATTGTGTCTTTACATTTAATGTTAGAGGTCTCCTTAGGCTAATGTTAAGCATGTAGAGATACCTTGTAAAATAAGCATATTTTATTCCATATCATAATTTTAATTTTCTGTCCATAAACATTACCAAATAAAATAATTTATGACATATTATAAGCATTTACTATTGAGGGATATGGAATGTTGATTATTTCTAAGTAAATCACTTATAAAGTATATCTTTTTGTGCTAGAAAAAATTATAATTGTATGAGCATATTCTTTACAGGATATCATTTAACTAAGGTATATATTTAAAGTTATTTGTTAAAATTAGAACTCTCATTGCATCTTGATGAATGCCACTATAGAATTTATCAAAGCCTGCCCCCCAAAAAAGTGCTGACACTTCTAAATATTTTCTTTAGTGGTTACCTTTAATCAGTCACAGTATATAGTCTTCACAGAAATAGTCTTTATATGGTTATCCCCCTCTATAGATATAATTATTTCCCATATGTTGCAAATGAGGTTTTGATTCATAGATTGTTTTCAAAGTTAAATTTATACTATTTAGGCAAACATATTTATAAAACATAGTAATCAATTAGCCCATTTGTTAGTTATCCAGGCATCACATATAAAACAGAATATGTAATATCAGTGAAACTGGGAAGAAATCGTTGTTATTAGTCCAAGTATTGATAAGTGCCTCTGATAATCTAGTATCTATCAAAGCATCCATCACAGTTCTTAAAATAACTTGTTGATTATTTCTTCTTCTGGAACATAATGCATTGAAGATTATAGTTGTGTTTTGCTACTTTATCTTTGGTGTCTGTCAAGTGACTTTATACTAGGAGCTCAAGAAATGCTGCACTGAACTGATCTGAGTTGAATTGAACTGAATTTATTATTTAAAAAAGGGAATCCACACCTAACTTCAGTAATTAATCAAGTTAATCAATTGATTCTGACTCTCCCCTTCTCATAAAGGCTATTTAAATTTAATTGTATGCTTTTACTTAAAGCATTCATTTCCTAACCACTATGTATGTTATAATAAATAATTGTATTTTATATATTATATATAAAATTTCTTCAGATGAGTTTTTCCATATTAGGGACAGAATTCTATTCTTTTCACATTATCTTGTACAATTTTCATTGATTTTTTTTCCCCTCCAACCCTGTCAATCTTACTGTTGTTGTTTAGTCGCTAAGTCATGTCCAACTCTTTTGCAACCCCATGTACTGTAGCCCACCAGGCTTCTCTGTCCATGAGATTTCCTAGGCAAGAATTCTGGAGTGGGTAACCATTTCCTTCTGCAGGAAATCTTCCCAACCCAGGGATTGAATCCAGTTCAAGAGTCTGCATTGCAGGCAGATTCTTTACTGCTGAGCCAGCAGGGGAGCCCATTGATCTTATAGAGCTATCTTATATCTGGCCTTTTTTATTTTTATTTTGTTTGGTATTAAACGCAAACTGTGGTATTCTGTTTTTGAGTTCTTTTTATAAAATTTTGTGTTATTACCAATATCCTTTCAAAAGATATTGTGGAGTAATATTTAATACTATTTGACCATGAGTATTTATATTTAGGCATAAGAATAAAAATACTAAGTATAGCTATGTGATAGAGTGACTAAAATGGGGGGTGTGTGTGTATGTTAGTTGCTTCGTCATATCTGACTCCTTGCAACCCCATAGACTGTAGCCCACCAGGCCCCTCTGCCCGTGAGATTCTCCAGGCATGAACGCTGGAGTGGGTTGCCATTTCCCTCTCCAAAAGGAACTATAGAAAGAAAGAAAGTGAAGTTGCTCAGTCGTGTCCGACTCGTTGCGACCCTATGGACTGTAACTTCCCAAGCTCCTCCATCCATGGGATTTTCAGCTAAGGCTCTATTGATAATTGAATTGCAGTGTGTTTTAAATACCATCCGTGTAGAAGTTCTCAAATGTCATGTAACTTTTTAAAGTTTTAGTGTTAACTAAAAATCATTTAGTTTTTTCTAGGCTAAATATTGGGCTGAGAAGTCTGATCTAATATAATGTTTTCCTCATAATAGAACAATTAGTTTCAGATGAAATATAACTTTAAGCTAAAAAGAAATGTCAAAGCAAATTATTTACATTTGGACAGGTCTTATAAAGAGGTATAGACTGTCACTGAATCTAAGATTGTTAAGTTGCAACACAATATTTTATAAAGCACCACTAAAGAAGGAAATTCTGCACATTAAAATAAGACCCAACTCTTCTAATATTTAGAATTTTTACTTCCAAAATAGTTTTTTAAACATAAACATAAATTATTTTAATCATTTTGGTCACTGCTGAATATTTTATAGGCACACACACATACACATACATTAGAAAATGTACATAAAATACACTGCATGAGGCATTCCTAAAACATCATCCTATTCAGTATCTATCTCTTCAAAACTGATTTTTGAGTCAGAGTGTTCGATGTGCCTGTTTCCCACATCCTTTTTGGTGAGGTGCCTGTCTTAATAGAGAGCCTCCGTTTTCTCTGGCTGTTCCATCCACACTGCTGCACCCATTCTGAAAGTTTTGATGGTGGTACTTCCTTGACGTTACCAGAAAGTTTCAGGAGAAGCTTTTTCAGACAACAATAGGATTCATAGTACTTTTTCAAATGGTCTTATTGAAATGTGTGGGAATCGTCATTGTCTAACCAAGCCATAGAAATAATAACCTAATAATTCCAACTGAGCTATTTCAAATCCTAAAAAAAAGATGCTGTTAAAGTGCTGCAATCTATATGCCAACAAATTTGGAAAATGCAGCAGTGGCCACAAGACTGGAAAAGGTCTGTTTTCGTTCCAATCCCAAAGAAAGGCAATGCCAAGGAATGTTCAAAGTACTGCACAATTGCACTCATCTCACACGCTAGCAAAGTAATGCTCAAAATTCTCCAAGCCAGTCTTCAACAGTACATGAACCATGAACTTCTAGATGTTCAATCTGGATTTAGAAAAGGCAGAGGAACCAGAGATCAGATTGCCAACATCCGTTGGATCATCAAAACAGAAAGAGAATTCCAGAAAAACATCTACTTCGGCTTTATTGACTATGCCAAAGCCTTTGACTGTGTAGATCACAGCAAACTGTGGAAAATTCAAGAGATGGGGATACCAGACCACATTACCTGCCTCCTGAGAAATCTGTATGCGGGTCAAGAAGNGAATAGTGGTGTTGGAGAAGACTCTTGAGAGTCCCTTGGACTGCAAGGAGACCAAATCAGTTGATCGTAAAGGAGATCAGTCCTGAATATTCATTGCAAGGACTGATGCTGAAGCTAAAGCTCCAATACTTTGGCTACCTGATGCGAATAATTGACTCATTGGAAAAGACCCTGATGCTGGGAAAGATTGAAGATGAGAGAAGGGGATGACAGAGGATGAGTTGGTTGGATGGCATCACTGACTTGATGGCCATGAGTTTGAGTAAGCTCCAGGAGTTGGTGATGGACAGGGAAGCCTGGCATGCTGCGGTCCATGGGGTCGCAAAGAGTCAGACATGACTGAGTGACCAAACTGAAATGAATTCAAACATACCTAAGGCATGGCAGCAACATTACTACCCTTGGTGGCCCCCTGATGAACAGGGATTGTTAAGAGACTGTCAGTATAAGAATCCTCATTTCTAATATAATGAGATATGTAAACAGTTGGGGTCTTAAAATAAAAAAAATACGGTATTAAAAAGTCACAGTGGGGTATAATAAAAAGAAAAAAAGTCCGCTTCAATTAAGGGCATATATATGTGTGCCCAAACATACATTATTCCAGAAAATAAAATTCTAACAGATAGATCATTTACATAATCCTTAAATTTTTATTAAATAAATTTATCTGCATTTACTAAGGTATTTAGGGCTTCCCCAGTGGCTCAGCATTAAAGAATCTGCCTGCCAATACAGGAGACCTGGGTTTGACCCCTGGGTCAGGAAAATCCCCTGGAGGAGGAAATGCCACTTCTCGCCAACATTCTTGCTCGGGAAATCCCATGGACAGTGGAGCCTGGTGTGCTGCAGTCTATGGGGGATGCAAAAGAGTCAAATGCAACTTAGAGATTAACAACAGCAACAAGCTTAGCTATGTCTAATTAAAAAGCTTTTCTGTCAGAAGTTGAATTATTATGGTCCTACCGAACTTGATATTAAACAATTCTAATTTATTATTTTATGTGCTTGTAGATATATGGGTAAGATAACCAGTCAGATGGATTAGAAAGTATTGAGAAGTTTTCATGTTGTTCTACATGAACTAATCCTTTCCTTTGATCGTTAAAATGTGATTTCTCAACTTTCAAAATTAACAAATGTTATAAATAAGTAAAGAACCCAGCCACTGAATATTTCTTAACTTCTTGTCTACCTCAGGTCCCATAAGTAGCGTTTTGGTGAATAAATATGGTAGCCGGCCGGTGGTGATGGTAGGAGGTTTGTTATGCTGTTTGGGAATGGTCTCGGCCTCTTACAGTACCAACGTAGTAGAGCTTTATCTCACAATGGGATTCATTTGCGGTAAGTGAAGATTTGTTTTCAGCTTATTTCCTTCTTAACAATTCTACTGTTTGCAAAGTTCTGTCAGAAGCATGAGCAACAGAACATTCTTATTTTCTTTGATTTTCTTTTTTTACATCAGAGGCTATATACTTTAAAGGATTGTCATCTGGTATATTAAACTCCTGGCTATAGGCTGACCAGTCAAACTAATTTCAAGAATTGGAAAAAGCAAGTTATCAGACATGTTATGTGCTATGATATAAATGTCAAAAAGAAAACTTCTTTGGTTTGTTTTTACTGTTTCAACATTTAATCTTCAGGCCGTAAAGGTGATATTGTGGACATAGACTCTCTGGCATATAAATAGCTTCATTAAAAAAAAAATTGCTTTCATTACTTATTACTATTAGTGTCTGACTGATCACTCATAATAGGTTAAAAATGGTGTCAAAAAGATGTTTCCTGGATTCACTGATTTAGCTTTAACAATAGAATTGTTGCCTGTGTTCTGATTAGTGGTAGAGCTCTGCATGAGCCTCCCTACCTTGTCTTAATAAAGGATTCTATGTAAAAGCTTTGAAAGACACATTTGCCACTAAACACAAATATTTTAAAATGAGTTCCTATCATTAGGTTATAGTTGTTTCTTAAGCATTTCTGTAGTTTCTAGTTGACCTGAATATGCACATTTGGAAAATATGATCTTTATTAACTTCAACAGCAAATTGCATGACACAAATTTACACTCAAAGTTTTAGAAAAATTAGACTTCAGTATATAAAGAAATTTAATTATTTCCTTTTGCTCACAGATAAAAAGGTAAATATATATTTTTTTGACTTTAGGTCACTCTGACCTTGCATTAATGCATCATCTGATAGAAAAATGAGATGTATTAAAGCCTACAGTGATAGCGATGTTAAAATTTACTCTTTACAACCTCTGCACAACTCTTGTTTTTTTATTTTGTAAGACATTTTGACATTTTAAATGAGAATCTTCTTATGTCTAAGAATTGTCATGGTGGAGAGAATACCATTTCCTCTGTGAAGAAATACTAGGGACAGCTGACCTTGAACGACATGGATTTGTACTGCGGGGGTTTACTCTACTGCCCAGTCCATGGTTGGTTGAATCCTAAGGCGAGCTGGCTATAAATGATACATAGAATTTCAGCTGTGTAGAGGGTGAGCCTTAAACCCCACATTGTTCAAGGGTCAGCCATATTTCATTTGGCCATAGAATTCAGGCTGGGCCCACAAAGTCATGTATTAGGAAAAAGATGGTTTTGATGTTACTGTATCATAAATATCAATTGTATTTTATGTTATTCTAACTTCAGTTCCATTTATTTGAGTCTTAAAGGCCCTGCTGCTTCTAGTCAACCACTAAAAATAACTATGAGATTTATCTTAAGTCATTATCAGCCAATACTTCTTTGTATTTGAAATCATTCAGGTCTAGCTTTTAAACCTAACTCAGCACATATTAGCTGTGTGATCGTGGATAAATACCCCTCCTTATGCCTCCATCTCTTTGTCTTTAAAATGGAAAAATGATAGCTCTTTCCTTTCGGAGGAAAAGGAAATATGTAGGATGAACCATATATTCATTTGTAAAAAATGAACCATATGTTCATTTGAACCATATATTCAATGAACTATATATTCATTCATTTGTAAAAAAAAAAATGAATATATGATACTTTACAGAGTATCCAGCATTTTGTCACTTTTAAATAAATANCTTGCCATTTCTGTCCTTTATTGAGCCCATCTTTGCATGACATGTTCCCTTGGTATCTCTAACTGTCTTGAAGAGATCTCTAGTCTTTCCCATTCTATTGCTTTCCTCTATTTGTTTGCATTGATCGCTGAGGAAGGCTCTCTTATGTCTCCTTGCTATTCTTTGGAACTCTGCATTCACATGGGTATATCGTTCCTTTTCTCCTTTGCTTTTCGCTTTTCTTCTTTGCACAGCGATTTGTAAGGCATCCTCAGACAGCCATTTTTTCTTTTTTGCATTTCTTTTTCTTGGGGATGGTCTTGATCCCTGCCTCCTGTTCAGTGTCATGAACCTTCATCCATAGTTCATCAGGCACTCTGTCTATCAGATCTAGTCCCTTAAATCTATTTGTTGCTTCCACTGTAAGGGAAGGGACATAAGGGATTTGATTTAGGTCATACCTCAATGGTCTAGTGGTTTTCCTTTCTTCAATTTAAGTCTGAATATGGCAATAAGGAATTCATGATCTGAGCCACAGTCAGCTGCTGGTCTTGTTTTTGCTGACTGTATAGAGCTTCTCCATCTTTGGCTGCAAAGAGTATAATCATTCTGAATACTATTACAAATATTAAATACAAATATTTGTATTAGAGGTTTGCATTAAATATTTATACTCAGAACCCAGTGTCCTGAAATCTAAATACTTAACCAATTTGCAATACTGTCTCAAATTTGCATAAATCGGTCAGTGCCAAAGAATTCCTGCTTCTATAGATCCTAAATAATACAGAATCATGTAGAGGCTAATGGGGAAAGAGAGGTAGTTTGTATAAATCACTTGTATTTACTTTTTAAACAAGCATTCATTTCTGTTGCCAAATAGTACCTTGATGAGCTATAAGAAGTAATTCATTTCTCAAAAGCAAAACTCAACTCTGTCAAGGTGTCCCTAGACAGCAGAAACATTTGATCCATATAAACAATCAGCTTAAAATTATTTTTTAGTTAATACACATTCACCCCTATAGTCATGAAATATGGAATATGAGGGATGAAGAACATGAAATTAATGGCATGAATTGATTACTCTTTTTTTTATTATTTGCATAGCTTTGAAAGAAATACCTAGAGGAGATCTAGGATTATTTATAAATGACAGCCTTTTAAATCTGTTGTCTATTCTGTACTGTAAAGAAAGTATTCATGTTTTAAACACACTCTTGCCCTCAAGGAAGATATCTATTCTCTGCATGTGTATATAATGAGAGAGATTAGAGCGATTAATTTATTTGTGGAATTAAGTGATTATAACTAAGAACCAATGAACTGTGTTCCAATTTCAACCTATTTTCTGATTGTTGCAACATTAGAAGCTCTTGGTTTTATTTTTGTGTTTTAAAAGGAAAGGATTATGAAACAGTCATGCACCTCAGATGTCTGGTTATGAGACCCTCTTTGTTTTTGTGCCATCTTATTGATAATATGTAATTTTTTAAATTTTTAAATTTTTTATTTTCTGTGGGCTGTTGCATTTTCATCCTGCCATCTCCATTTGAATGTGCATTTTGACAAGTGATTTCTTTTGTGAGTGACATAATGTGTTTGTTTCTTCCTTTTGTTTTGTTCTCTTTAGGCATAGGTCTAGCCTTCAACCTGCAACCTGCCTTAACAATCGTTGGCAAATACTTCTACAAGAAACGACCCGTAGCGAATGGGCTTGCAATGGCTGGAAGTCCTGTTTTCCTAAGTACCTTGGCCCCTTTCAATCAGTTCCTCTTTAATACTTACGGCTGGAAGGGAAGCTTCATGATTTTGGGAGGTTTGCTGTTGAACTGCTGTGTGGCTGGGTCCCTTATGAGACCTGTTGAACCCAAAGCAAGTACTGAGTCTAAAAATAAGGTTGGAGTAAGAGAAACTGATTCCAGTATGAAAAAAAGACAAAAAAAGTTATCAGTTTGGGAAAAAATTAATAAGTATTTAGATTTCTCCCTTTTTAAGCATAGGGGATTTCTGATATACTTATCTGGAAATGTCATTATGTTTCTGGGGTTCTTCGCCCCCGTTATATTCTTGGCTCCATATGCTAAAGACAAAGGAATCGATGAGTATTCTGCAGCTTTCTTGCTGTCTGTTATGGCTTTTGTTGATATGTTTGCCAGACCTTCTGTAGGACTTATTGCCAATTCCAAATTAATCCGACCCCGAATCCAGTACTTCTTCAGTTTTGCAGTGATGTTCACTGGAATCTGCCATCTCTTATGCCCATTGGCTGAGGACTACACCAGCCTGGTGGTGTATGCTGTATTTTTTGGCCTTGGATTTGGGAGTGTTAGCAGTGTCCTCTTTGAAACTCTCATGGACCTTGTTGGTGCTCAGAGATTTTCCAGTGCTGTGGGACTCGTCACAGTTGTGGAGTGCTGTCCTGTCCTCCTTGGGCCTCCTCTTGCTGGTAAGAATATTTATCAACAAAGAAGGCAAATAGCGTAAAATTAATATCCATTAGCTGAGACTTTCTTTGTAGTGTAAAATGTGGTTTGTAATAATAGATACTAATACCCTAAAAGACTATAGATGTGTTAATTTTAGCCTTATTATGTATTTTTAATTTCCTAATTAGTCTATTTTAGACAAAAATTTCATTTATAGCCTGGTATTATGAACTTGAGAATTTAAATTAGACTGATACTTAGCATGATTTGCAGATTTTTACCTATATCAACTTGTAATGTTAAAAATATATCATAAAAATAAAATACCACTTTATCATTGGTAAACAGATTTCTCTTGTTTTTTTAAAATAAGTCAAAAATTTAAAGTAATGCTCTCAAAAGGTTAAAATCTGTTTTCCTATTGGAGTATACTGGTTATGTTAATATAGAACTTGTTACATGCTTAAGGAAGGAATACGTTTATAATATCACTGGTTGGAATGTATCAATAGGAATGCAAGAATGAAGAGAAGTTCATTCAAAGTCATTTTCTTGATCAGATACTTATATCCCATATTTGTAACCTTTATCTTTAGATTTTAAGATCTAAAGTACTATCAGAGATGACTATAAAAGTATCTGTGCCAAAAAAAAAAAGTATCTGTGCTAAATTATCTAGCAAAGAGGCTGAGTAAAGACACATGTATACATTTATTTTTGAAGTGGAGACTTCGTTTAGTCTTAGACTTACATGTAATAAATATTAAATACTTTTTGTTGGCCTATCCTTTCTAGTAATCACTGTATAGCATTGCTTTAATTAATGCTAAATGTAGGTATTTACTTAGGCCTCTTGGCCTGCCCCTAATTGTCACCATAACTGCCAGGCCAAGCATGACTTTTTTTTTTTTTTTTTAAGTCAGTGTTTAAACTCTTCCTATATGACATAAAGGAATCATTTTGAAAGTGGGAAAATTCATGTTTAATTTGTTACCCTTAAGGCACCACTGACATTTACCTTTTGCTTTTTCACTTGGTCAAGAATGAGTGGTATAGTTGTTGACTTTTTCCTGTCCACCAGGGCTGCCATCTGGAATGCCTAGGGTGGTATATCTCTTGATATAGACATGCCACGTCACACCAAAACAGTTTTCAAAGTGAATGAAGCCAGTAGGTCTTATTCATTTTGGTCAATATATATTATTATAAAATAAGTACAGTTGGCCTATCTTTTCATACAGAATTAATTTTACCAAATGGGTTTTAGAAGTCTATTCATTAGCAATAAAATCTTAGTATCAACAGAGAAAATGATATCTCACCAGCCATAGTGGGATGAAAAAGTATCAAGTCAGGTCAGTTGACACAGTGGATGGGTGCTATGGAAATGGATGAATCTGATTTGCCACTCCTACCTGTGACTGAGACCTGTTTTAATACTTACATCAATTTCAGTATCCCTGAGCGCTGATTGTGTTAATGTTGCCAAACTGCTGCCCCAGTGGTGTCAGTGGCAATAATTGATTTGGGGCTCATTTTTAAAGGTATCGGATTATATAGCCATAAAATAGTGTCCATTTTTTTCATCCTGTTTTTGCCTCCTGATACTCCTTGATATTTAAACTGTCTTCTCTGGAGCATACCATCACTACTAGCATAGTGTCTGCAACATAGTAGGTACTCAATAAATACTTTTGAGTGAGTGGGTATTGCTGCAGTTACTTCCTATCAGTTGCTACTGCTGCTTCTAGCCTTGATAGTACACCAGTGATAGTAGAACAATAGTAAAACAGGGGGGGCATGATTTTTATTTTTTTCAACTTGAACTTCCACTGCTACTTCCAGAAAGAGCAGAAACTTTAATTCTGGGAATTATATCTGGTTTCTTGATGATGCTAAAAATTACTGAAACATTTAGAAAGTATGTTTATTTGGCAGTCCAAAGTGATACTAATTCTAATGGGACAAAAGACCTAATTTTCTGTATTTAGGAGTGTACTAATCATTGCATGAATAGAAATATTTGACTAAAGTTCAAATGGAAAATTAAATTACAGAATTTGGTTTTGTTTATGTATATATCATACTTACGCAAATAAGTCCATCCTATCATTTATCTAAATAATACAGGGAACTTTGTTGAAATAGATACGTTTCACAAATAACTAAATTTAACGCTGAACCACTAACTAGATTCTAACTAGACTGAGCCACTAACTAGATTCTAGCATAAGCTGGAATCAAGATTGCTGGGAGAAATCTCAACCTCAGACATGCAGATAACACCACCNACAGGGAGGGCTGGCATGCTGTGGTCCATGGAGTTGCAAAGAGTTGGACACAACTGAGCAACTGAACTGAACTGAACTGAACTAAATTCTAGTCAGAATGTTGGAAACTCTGACTAAACAAATACATCTGTTTCAGAATCACCTTGAATATGCATATGAAAAATAATTTGGATTTGTGCCTACAAAATTTTGCCAATGATAACTATTGTTAAGAATTAGATGCTTGCATAAGCATGAGGCAAAACTAAATATAAACAATATAAGCTGAAGCTTGTTTAAAAGTCAACAAACCTTCCAATTATTTGGTACCAGGCTAGTTTTTCAATGTTCTCAATAATCAAATGGAGCAAAAACTTTCTCCCTGACTAGTTTGGCCTTAATAATATAGATTTAGATAAAGTGAAAAACTACGATTAGTCCAAAAAGTGACAGGACACTTAACCAGGAGGTTTGGTGAAGCCATTTTGTGGAGTAGTTAAGAACATGAGATGCAGACAGACTTTGGTAAGAGCCTAGTTTCTGCCACATTTGCTATGTAATTATGGTCGAAATATGTCATAGTGATTTTTTTTAAGGATTAAATGCAAAATTACAAATAAAGTGTTTAGCCTAGTGCTAGGCATAGAGAAGTCATTTGGTAAATATTATGACCCATTAGGAATCTCATCAAAGCCTTTGAATTTTCCCTAAAGAATGTAATGTGTACTCTTTTTAGAAAAGATAGGAAATGTGGAAAGGATGAAGCAATCTCAATATATGCCATAAATATATCCATATATATGTTTACATTTGTAAATATGTATATGTGTTTCTACGTATGTAGGTTTAAAATGTATCTTACATGTATGTATCTATAAAAATATAGCCAAACACACATATACCCATTTGTCTTGGTTGTACACTTTTATTGAAGGCAACAACTTTCAATGCATTTCATATACTGGTAGAATAATGTAGTATGTGCCTCTAACATGCCTTTACTATGTATATGTGAAAGTCATAATCTAGAATATTTTTTTTCTTTAACTCTCATTTAGTATTAAATAAGAAATAGGTACACTGTGTGGAATGAATTTATTTGCAACTGCTATCATTTTATGGTTGATTTATTATGCTGTCTTAAAAAACACTCTTTGCCTCTTAGGTAAACTGGTGGATGAAACTGGACAATATAAATACATGTATTTGGCCTGTGGAGCTATTGTGGTCATAGCCAGCGTGTGGCTACTCATCGGCAATGCCATCAACTACAGATTGCTTGCAAGGGAAAAGAAGAAGAATATACATACCAAGGAATCTCAAGAAACTGAACCCTTGAAGACATCTCAGAGTCCCAATGTTAATATCAAAAGTGGCGAAACTGAAACATGGAAAGGAGCAGAGGTTAATCCCTCAGAAAGAGAAACAAATATTTAACAAGAATCATATCTCTGATTTCAGTATTCATGACTTTCTCAGGAGTATTATTTTTTTCAACATATTGGAAGATTTTTAGTTGAAATGAAGAGTCATAGTTAAGGATGGAGATGAGATTTTCCTTCACAACAAATTTTAAATGTTTGTCTTTAAAAACTTACTTGGGTAGTTAAATTTTGAGATTATGCATATAAAGAATTCATACATTGGGTTTGTGTCCATACATGAGTCTGGTTGTGGTGGTTAAATGATTTTAAAGTCTTCTGGTGACTTCTAGTCTTGGTTATAGAGATCTGAATTCCAAAATGCTGGTTTAAGTAGTTAGAAAGAGTATGTTTAATCCTATAAGAATACCTTATCCACATTTCATTTTTGATTCAATATTAAAGTGTGAAATGGAATTGAAGGAAATTAATTTTTTTTCCTAGATATCCTCACACACACCAACTTTCATACACTTAAGAATGAACAGACAAGGTATCTGGAGAAAAAAAGACAAGTTTAAAAAGAATATTATCACTGTATATATATTTTTAAATCCATGGAGAAAAAAAATGCATTATATCTGCATAGTACCTTATAGTGTGGATGTTAGAGATATGAACATGGGTGAAAATGAGAGTGGTCTTAATTTGAAAATGTAATTAACTGCTGTAAAACAAAAGCAATTGCATATATGAAATAAATTTGAAAAAAAGTAAAAGCTCTATTTTTTAGATAATTATTTCTGAGCCCTGTCCAATTTGATCCATGCATGCACATGATTTCTTTGAGGGGGGCCATCAGTACCTGGTACTAGTGAATAGAACCCTCAAATAATCAGAATTTACTAATAAGTAAATCAAATTAAAAACTTAAATGACTCCTAGCAATGAGCCATATCTTTTGATTTGGAAAATCCAGAAAGTAATAAGTAGAAACATCTTTTAACCAAACTTAGTCCAGACTAGCTATCTTACTAAGACACCAAAGTGGAACTCAACTGAAATCCTGGTTGACAGGCTGACAAACAGGCAGAGATTTCATTTTTCCCAACACATAGTGGTGATAAGAGAGTTAAGATTATGATTATTCCATCTGAATAAAGCTAAGAGTGGAAGGTACTTACAATGAGCCCTCCAAGCTCTCTCATTTCCCTCCATTCACCAACAAGCAAAAAGCAAAAAACAAATCCAAACAGGCTTTTCTCTCAGCCACTGAAAATGTCTCATATTACAGGAAAGGAAGCACTAGAAATCCCACCCTCTACTAACTAGACTTCCTGCTGCCTGTAAACATAACTAAACCAGGACACTTAAAAAGGCTTCTAGACCTGGAGGTTGTGTATGACTTTATATACACTTTTGAAGTGGAGATTTAATTTATAACTTGATAGAAAGAAGCTTGAAATATGGGAACCCAGGTTAATTTAGCAGTTTCTCATAACTATGTGAAAACATCCGGGACTGAATTGCTCTTGAATATAGAGGCATATGATAGATCTGTGAATTCAGATCTAATAAATGCCATTTTGAGTGGTAAAGTACTTTTAAACAAGAAACAATGCATGCATTAGGTATAAAGGTATAAACATTCACCTTTATAAATCTGAAGTTTAAATTAAGTTCATGATTAATAAAAAACATTGAGCCTTTGATTATTGAATGTCATTCTTAAGATGTCAAAAGGATTTTGTCATTCTTCCTTCTTACCGTTGCAGTAGAAGCAGATGAGTAAGCAAATAAGTGTTCTTATTTCCTTTAAGACTGTGCTTAGATACCAAGCTTCTGTGATAATTAACACTAGGGATTTGATTTGTAAACTTTAGGTACTGCTTGAGCATGTAGCTTGTGTTTATCAAGCTGTATACAATTCCATATTTCATTTCACATGCACTTTTCTGCATGGAAAGGGTGTTTGTATTTTTAAAATATTAACTGAAACAATATGTGCCAATACCATAGGTAGATAAATCAGGGAAATTGTGACAGTATATAGTTGTTTTTAATTTAGTTTCATTCAATCTTGAATCCTAAATGAGCTGTTTCATATTATTAGTATGTTTGTATTCAACTCTGACTAGTCATAAGAAATGTGACATCATAAATTGTGCAGTAGCTTTCCAATCTTAAACGTTTCCAAAAAATGCCTTGAATTCTCTGAAGATACATATTTAAATTAATACAGATAATAGATCCTTGGGGCAAGTAATGATCATGGGGTCTTAAAGGCCTAATTTATCACTTGCCAGTGGGTGCATTCCAGTGGTTTTCTCCATGGAAGGAGGTTTATTTACTTGCTGATGAGATTCTTGTCAAGAAAAAACCAATTTTTATTTGTTCTATTGCATTTTGATCATCTTTTTAAATTTCATTTCTGACATTGATTGATTACATTAAATTGTTAAAAAAAAAAACAAAAGAAAGGAAATTGAAATTGCACATTCAAAGCACATAATGTGAGGTATACAGTCATGCCTGCCAGTCATACTGCACCAAGTTACAAGCATGCATGCAGCTTAATTCTCATCCATAAATGTTGAAAATTAGAACACACGCGAACAGTGATATAAACACACTCAGGATTCAGAATTGTTCCAAGGTAAAATAAATGTTTCCAGTTGTTTACTCTCAAATCAGTTAAACTTGTTAGAATTTTTGCTGCTTGAACAGAATCTTTCAGAGATAGAGAAGAAAATACCAACCTAGAACATTTATTATTATAAAGCTACCTAAATGGAGCAGGAAATATAGTTGGCTTCTGTGTTTGCAGCGATGAGTGATTAGTGCAGGACACACTTCTTCCCCGAGGGAATGACAGGTTTTAGATGTTCAAGCTATCAAGAAACAAAGTCAGAAACCTTAACAATCCCTTTTAGCCCATTTTCCTATTATGGAATTGTGCAGAAAGAAGATTATCATAAACCTGGTTACCAAAATAATTCATGATCACTGGCTAGATTAAGACACCCAGTATTACTCACTGTTTAATCTTAAATATGTCTTCATTAATTTGTGAATGGAATACAGGGTATAGACATCTTTTGACACATGCCCATCCTCTTTTCTGACTCTTTTTGGAGCCAATAAACACGTATTTAAGAGACAGTGGGTCAGGCTCTAGTGTGCTTCACATTGGAAGACATGATATTTTCTCAGTGTGAATTGACTTGGCTCATAAACTTCACTTCGTTAGTGTTAATATGTTAGTCGCTCAGTCAAGTCGGACTCTGCCACCCCATGGACTGTAACCTGTTAGGCTCCTCTGTCCATGGAATTCTCCAGGCAAGAATAGTGGAGTGGGTAGCCAGTTCCCTTCTCCAGGGGATCTTCCCCACCCAGGGATTGAACCCAGGTGCCCTGCATTGCAGGCAGACTCCTTACCTCTGAGCCGCCAGGGAAGTGTTAATACCAAATTGTAATCACCTTGTTTCATGGAGCCTCCCCCGCTGCTGCCGCTGCCAAGTCGCTTCAGTCGTGTCCGAGTTTGTGCGACCCCCGAGACGGCAGCCCGCCGGGCTCCCCCGTCCCTGGGATCCTCCAGGCAAGAACACTGGAGTGGGTTGCCATTGCCTTCTCCAGTGCATGAAAGTGAAAAGTGAAGGTGAAGTCGCTCAGTCGTGTCTGACTCTTAGCGACCCCATGAACTGAAGCCCACCAGGTTCCTCCATCCATGGGATTTTCCAGGCAAGAATACTGGAGCGGGCGCCAGTGCCTTCTCCAGAGTCTCCCCTAGACACTAGAAAATACATAAAGTAATTTGGTTTGATATATTTGAATGTGCACTTCAAAAATTTAGGTATTTTTACTCATCCATCTCTGGCTGTACATGATAGTTTAGGATATAGGGGAAAAAAGACTGTAAGATCTATGATGTAAATAAGTTTTTACATTGATGTTATAAAATGTAGAGAGTTACTTAAAAGTTAATTGAAACTTATTTTCTATCCAAAAATACCTTTTAAAAACACCCTTACATGTACAGTGTTGCAAGCTCTTGCTATAAATAATCGTGATAATTTAGATTCAAATTAATAGGGGAAAAGAATATAAAGTGGAAAGGGAACAGATATTTATTTATATTTCCTGTGTTATTCCTATTAAAGCCTTTTAGTATTCAAATCAAATCATAGGTATTGTCGTGATATAATAGATGAGTGAAACAAAACAAAAAGAGACGTACCAAGAAGCTCAACAAATTACCTAAAGTTAAAAAGGAGTATGTGACTGAACCAGAACTAAAACTCAGGTTTACATAAAAGCAGAGAGGCCCTAGGGTGTTCCCTGCCATACTGCCTGCCCCTAGTAGCTATAGATACAGAAGTAGATAAATGTAGATAGAAAAAGATTAAACACTGTATGGTAAACCAATGAGACTGATCTAATTAGTGTTTATTAAAGACTGCATTTGCCATAACCTGAATATATGGTTTCAAGTTGCCTACTTTTCTACCCAATACAAATTATCCCAAACAATGGTAATAATTATATAATAGCCATAATTGCTTCAGTGTGACTTTCTTTGGGAAAAATAATGAAACATTTATAGTACTCAGGTATAATGTATTTTCCCTGAGGTTGGGTTTAGAAGAAAAATGCTATTTTCTTTATGGATAAGTAATTCCCATATTAGTTGCTACTTATTATGACTCAAAAATAAAAGTACTTACTATGAAACACTATGTTCAGAATTATAAGTGATCCTTATACGTGATTCTCACTTATAAGATTATCTTAGTGGTGAAAGTCTCTCAGTTGTGTCCGACTCTTTGCAACCCCATGGACTGTGCCCACCCAGGCTCCTCTGTCCATGGAGTTCTCTAGGCCAGAATACTGGAGGGGGTAACCGTTCCCTTCTCCAGGGGATCTTCCTAACCCAGGAACCCAGGTCTCCAGCATTGCAGGCAGATTCTTTACCATCTGAGACACCAGGAAAGTCCAAGATTGTCCTAAGCTAACAACAATTTGTAAAAAGCTTATGAGCTGCATAGACTTGGTTCATCTACACAAAATTATATTTATTTACACCACTTAATGCAACTGCCCCTACACCGTAACTAATTTGTGAAGTTTTCCTGAACATCTGTATTGTTGTTCTCCTCTCTGCCCCTTTCTTCTAAAGAGAGAACAAATGCCATTCCTTTTGTCTTCTTCTTCTAAACCTTTGGCGTCCTTAGAATATTCTCTTTAGCTCTGTTACAGATTGTTGTCATTTAGGCGCTAAATTGTGTCCGAGTCTTGGTGCACATGTTGCATTTCTGATGTCTTACATCTTTCACAGCCACTCATGCTACATCTGGTCTTACTTGGTTTGCAAGAATGACTGTATTCCTGAAGTCAACAGGAATACTTGTGGCTAAAACCAGTCATCTTCACCAACAAGGGAACGCATGTGAGTGTAGTCTTCAGGTTTCCTGGATGAGGAAGATATTTTGTTGCTATGAAACTTCCTTATACATGAGAAATATATCATTAAACATGACTTTTAAGAATCTAGAAAAATAGATCATCCTGTCCTTGACATTTACTATTCTGGATGCTTCTAACTTTCTTAAAGTGCCTGAAATTTTGAGAAACAAAGTTCACCATCACAACGCAGCATCAGTATATGTCACCCTGTAGGCTCATGGGTGCCTCATAACAACTAGATTCTCGCCATGACAATTCACAACGCCAAAGAGCATCAAAATCATTGAGATAAAAATTGAAATGATAATATATTCAT